ACATCAAAAGACAACTTTTCTGCGGTATTACAATTTAATTACAGAGAAAGTTTGTTTTCGTTCCACACTCGCACTCATTACAAGTCTTTAAATATGTTCATTAGATTAAAATACACATTTCCCTAAACATCCGATGATTAGTTATGAAACTCTTGAACTCAATACCCGTGGCATCTAAATATTGGACAGTTGTTCATTTTATATATCCTGATGAAAAATCTGTAAAAATGCATGAGTCAATTTTATTTTGTAAGAAGTGTTTTAAATTAATCAGGGGACGCTCTACCAACTACCTTGCATCTCTTAAGAAACCTCACTGAACATGAATTGAAATTGTGCAGCACATTCCAATCATTTTGAATGTATAGTTCACTTTCAGAATAAAATGAAACTAAAACACAATATGCCGTATTGTAGGCCTCACCACAACATATATTTTCTCTCTTCTTAAAACGTCTTTTAAAATTTGACAATCTTACGACAGGGCTTCCGGATATACTGGTTAGAAATAACTGACAATGAGTACTTTGTATAAGGACTGCGTTAATCGACGATCAAGCTTATGTCCTCCTTGGATTCCTTGCAATTAATTTACTCAGCCATCTCCTTGAGGATACATAATATGAGTATTTCACATCTACGTTTTAACTACAACACTCCTAGAAAAGTGTGCGAAACCACACGTCATGGGGTGAGGTCAGCCATCTCCCTTGGGGTGAGGTCAGCCAAAAAATCTACAGACGTTAAATTTTTTAATGCAGAGACATGTTGAAGGCCAGTCTATTTATATTTCTTCAAAGTATTTTTATGAAAAACTATACGCACTAACGTTTTAAATCTAATATAAATAGAGCAGACTATTTGAAATCATGCAAAAAGAAACGTGACATCAATTTACAGGTTGGGGCATACATAATTTCAATAACACAATTCAAACATAATGGAATAATTCTAAATGGAATGTTTACATAGAGGGGCGAGTGAATAAGTGTTTAGATTTGTTTAAAAGAGGGCAAGAAAAGTGAGCTAGAAAAAGCAAACTTTTGAGAACCCATTACTTGAATGGTCTTTTTTCAGTAGTGGATTGTGAACGTCATAGGTCAGATAACAAAGAACATTAAACATTTAATGCATCCCTTCATTTTCTCACAATATCCCATTTTAAAATTCCTGCGCAAAACACTGATACCGTGTACCATGAGAAACCAATCTGACTTTGGAATTATAATTTAGTCAAAAATTGGGTCTTCAGATTTATCAATAGTACTTGTAATCAACGAAATCGAAATAACTCTGAACGAGAACGAAATTAACAATTTTTATATTACATGAAAGTATTGTCATGAAGTACATTCTACTGTAGTCATGAAGAGCACAACAATGATTAGAGTCCCCCGCCCACATCACTCTTCTTTGTAAAATTACTCACCTTTACAATTATAAATTTCTGATAATAAAAGCTCGGTTATTGAGTCCTTACTACATTAGTGACAAAATCGTCGTTTTTATATCCGCTTTGGATTGTTCTGCCATCTGCCGTGGTATTGAGCAACCAGGAGTACTGACTGGCGGCGCGTCTGCGGCGCTGTCGCTTACTTTTCAGACCATTAGCGCTACCTAGTGTTCTTAACAAGAAGTTCAAGCAAGGTAGGATACAATACGGCGGGAGTTTTAAGCAGTCGAATATTTACAGCACTAAGTCGCATTTAGTGCTGTAAATATTCGACTGCTGCATGTAGAAATCAGAAAAATACCAAAATAGATTATTTAATATATAAAATAATCACTCAGGAAAATTATACTTTTCAACTCTTTGAAAGAAAATTTTTCAATGATTGGAAGGGGAAATATTACTAGTATGATTCTCAATGTGATTCAATGTACTTTAATTTGATTCAGAACGAAATGCATAGGATTCACACTTCTTACTAATACAACTCAATTTCACCATTGATTGGACCACATTGTTGAGGTTGTAAATTATATCAAACCTTGAAGAAGTGCAACTGTGTCGCAAATAGCACGAACACAGCAGTCATTAGGATCTAGAATCACTGCTCAGTAACTTTAAAAATAATCCTGCATTCTACATACCTTCAGTATGTGAATCCTGTTCAGCAGTACTCTGAGTTTCAGGACAGTAGTTATATCCCTCCGGTTCAATACTCAATACACTTATGGCGAGTCAATTACAAACAAAAGTGGCGATTTATTTCCAGCAAAATAATATTTTGGATGAAATGTCTGTACCCTGGCCTGAACTCCCTTCCCTCCATAAACAGAAATTTGTAATCAACAAGGTGAAGGAGACGCAAAAGATATATCATGTTACCTTTCCTGTGTCATATATAAATCTGAAAAATCTTTCAGATTTAACATTAGCAGATATTTAGGCAGTATTAGGAGATTTTGCTAACAGCAAGATGAGCATGATAGCAAATGACATTCCTTCTGCAAATGGTCAGAAAGAATCCAAGAATTTTCATTCACTAAGTTTATAAATATAAACTACTTTTGAGAAATTTCCAAAATGAGATTAGCTGTAACTGTTCGGTTCTTTTAAATAACTCTCTAGTTCGTGTGACAACTCTCCTGGTGACCATGAAAATTAATTAAATTCTTAACCAAAAACATCTAGTACACCTTCTTGTTTTGATCTAGCCTGTAAGGATAAAAAGGCTGTACTAGGTAATGTTCCCATGAGCAGCATCGTTCAAGAAATAAGTAATGAATACCACACGCATTTTCATGACCAAAATATGCAAGTGTTTATGACTTAAAATGTATATAAATATGACTTTAAATATAAAATATGACAAATAAAAAAATATGAAACATGACATAGAAAAATAAAATATATATTCACTACGTTCATTTCAAAATCTTCTTTTATATAACATAAATATAAAAATCACTTCAGGACAAATTATAAGTATTGTATGTACTTTTTGAAGTCTTTAAAACTGACAAGAACAAGTTTTCATTTTTTTGCACCAATCTAAAAAAGGAGAAGGTTATTATAAAACATGCTGTCTGTGAAAAACATTTCTCCAAAATCATGAACAAAACTTTCGAGCGTTGTGCTTCTGGAGCACTTTTCTTTCAGTGCATTGATCTACAATGAATGAGTGTTCAAACTGAAAAGCTTAACTGCATGTGCGGTGTTTTCGTCTGAAGCCCTCTTTGCTAGATTGCTAAACGTGGTGTCGACCTTTTCCAACAATGGTTTACAACAGTGTCTTACACCACTTACCTACAATTCCAATATAGCTTTAGAGTGTAATTGTTGTGTTTATTTGTGAAATTTTGACAAGACATTTCTTAATCTCTGTATGTCTACATTCTTGAAAATATGAAAAATATTTGCATTGATGTATAAAATTTTTCAAAATATGATATTTTAGTGAAAAAGGTGAGGAAATGTTTTTAAATGCGCAATAAAAATATATTTTCCCTCACTAAAATATGTAGATTTGTGCATAAATTTTAGTTAAATTTACTTAAAGGTTCAAAAAATATATGACTTGTTACATTTAGGTAAATTGTCTTGTAAAATCAGGGCTGTAATAATGAATTACCATCTGCCGAGGCCTGTGTAAGAAGGATCTTGTCTGTACAGACTCCAATGTCATTGTGAGCTGTAGCAGTGATTTGTGGAATAAATAAGGAAACAGAAAACTGTCATGTTAAGAAACAAGCCCCAATATGTATAAACTGTGACAGAAAGCACTATGTCATAGATAACGGTCCTTATTTTATTGACAGACAAAAACACTTTTCAATGTAAAAGGTTTCTCAATTTTTCCTCTGATAATGCAATCTTGAATAACTTAAATCACACTAACTAAATATGTGTAGTTATTTGTAATGATTTCACATTTTTAAATAGTTAATATCATTTTCAGAAAAAATATACACCAAAATCTTTTCTCTGATACAACAGTTTCCCCTTCTCAAAAATCCCCTCTAGCAATAAAAAATCACAAAAAAACTATTGATTTATTATGTTCATATGACGACAATGTTCTTCTAACAAAGTTGTAGATATTGTTGTGCATAGAATAATTCAAAATGCTTAAATGTTGAAGTTACAATAAAATATTAATTTCTTCTTTTAAATAAAATTATTTGATGTTTACGCTTTTGATATGCATGTTATTTCGCAAAGCAATGATACACATTGTCATATTCCAGTGACATTGAACTCTTTGTGGGAACTCTTTCCATTGTTATTGATATTTGTGAGTGCGATTGTTGGGACATGGACGCTCTGTTATGCTGATGCACACACACTTAAAATAGTTAAGTATGAGTTTATTGAATTGACACGTGCTTTTATGAAGCATATAATTACGTTTTTGAAAGATAGAAATAATGTTTAAAAAATGTGTGTGCAAAATATTTTGAATTTGTCAAAAAAAATGAGATCATGTCTGGTAAGAAAAAATGCAATTGGGTGGGGGGAAGGGAAAGGGTGCAAATGTTTTTCTAAGACCTTAATTATTGGAAACTGATTTGAGATTTATTTGAGAGTGCATTGTAATATAAATATTAATTTTGAGATTTGAATTTTGTTGCAAAAACTATAATTTGTAATTACATATGATTTTAATTTTATGTAATAGGTATGAAATGGAAATGATTTTGTGTATAAAATGATAGTACAGTAATTGGTAAATGAATAAACAAGCAAGGCATCGATTTTTGTGATACTAATTTAATGTAGCTTATTGAAGATTTGTTTGAAATCTCAGGAGTATGATGTATTGTTATTAACTGAATACAGATAGTTTTGTTTATGTAGTAATTTTTAAATTTGTAGTTCCAGATTGGAAGATTTAATGAATTCATAAAATGTATGTGTGTGTTTTGGGTGTATTTGCTTTTATTTTATTACAATAAGTAGCTTTTTATTCAAACCACTTCACTCCCATGTTTTTGAGGGCAAGAGGGGTTGAATTCAGTGTTATAATTCTTTCTAATAATAATAATACCGTTGGGTTTATTTTAATTCCGTTTCCATCTGAAATACTTAACAATGTGAGAATAAAAATATAATTATTTCAATTTTTTAAAAATAAATGAAAGAATTTTTAACAATTTTTCTGTTTGGTATTAACAGATAATATATTAATATACATTCTTTCAGACATTATTATTCAGACAGAAATATCTGAGCAGCAATTTAATATAACTTATGACTACATAACATTGTGATGTTATGGAGGAAATTATGAATTACTCTTTACCTGATCTTAAGAATTTTTTTGAATTAATTACTTGGCTTTGACACATTTAAATATATTAAGGAAATTAGAGAGTGGATAAACTATTCTTTCTAATCTTAATTGTCAACTAACTGATAACATTTTCTATTGACATCTTTTTCTCAAAAATGTTTAGCAAATGTGATTATAGAATTTTCCAGCACAGTGAGTTTTAGAAATTAAGTCATGGCTGAAGCATTAATTCTTATTCTTAAATCAAAATTTGAAATCAATAATTTATCTCAACCCTTTGTTGATTTAAATATTGGCTACTCATTGCTTCTGATAGAGGTCTTTCATAACTTCGGAAAATTCTAGTTTCAAATAGCATGCAGGCGTGATGACAGAATGCAGAATGCAAGAAGTGGAATATTTTTATATTTATTTTTTCTTCTTCATCACATCTGTACAGTTACACAAAATACAACTCAGATAAATATATAGTTATGATAAATGTATGATCAAATATGTTTCTAGGAATCACAGAAATTAGAATATAATTACACATTGTGCAGATGAGAATAAGGGTAAAATCAATAGGTATTTTAGGTGTGTTCACAAAATACATTCATAAATTCATCACATCAGTACCATCAGTATTACATGATAAACTATTTCAGTTTGATTGTACAGTCAAAAATCTCATACGTACACAATACATTCTCTCCTTGATATACAAATGTAAGCGTCATTTCAGATTTATGATTTCACTAGGAAACATTCAATGTCCATTGCGACAACTTTAGTGATAGTTGTTTAGTCAATGAGAGTTTAGGAGTACTGGGGCTCAGAAGCAGTGCTAAACACTCAGTGGCTAATTTTTCATGGTCTAAATTTCCTCGAAGCTCATATCTCAGGTCACAACAGCATCCCCCACTTTGGGGGAGATCAAGACAGATACACCACATACAATGTATACGAATGTACAAGCAGTTACATGGATACATCACGTTTAATATCGTTAAGTTATAATTTGTTTCACAACAAAAACATATATTGACAGTGAACAAAGCATGATTTGTCATTGTTCCGTATACATTTCGTGTTTCGATTCTGAAAACAGTGATAATGATCAGAACGTGGATACGTAAGTCTTTACAATTGCGTAAAGTAGAAAGTGCGTTGTGAATAATTAATTATGTCTGAAATGTTTTCGTAAGATGACAACACCAAGACGAACTCTGACATTAGATATCGTTGCTAATGACAAAACAGAGTTCAAATGAAGCCTATGAAGAAGTCAAAATCGGGCATCCCCGCCGCGCAGTATTGAATCCACATACAATGACATTTGGTCATTTCACTGAATGAATATCCTTTGACACGCATGCCGATTGTCGTGTGTTTTAATGCTCCGCGAGAAAGGAGTTAGGTACCGTGAAATTTGCCATTCAGTTCTCAAATCCATGACAGAAATTCGTTTTAACCAACCGCGTATGTTGATTTGCTGTCTGAGAATCGAATTGGGACTGATGTACTTCTCGAAAAATCGTCAATAAATTTCACACATCACATTACACACATATGAAGGTTTTTAATAACTGTACAATCGGCAGCGACTTAGAACGAGTGTAATAGAGGGTTTGAACAAACTAGGATGGATTATGGGATAATAAAAACGTTGTGAATTGGACAAAGTCACACACTGTCTCCAGGCTGGAATATTGGAATAAGATAGTTGATGGAGGCAGTTTTATACGATAATAACGCATCTTGGTGTGACGCGTAAGCTGTCAACCATCCACAAAGAAAAGTGTTCACGTACAGTATTATTATAAACACTTTGTTCACTTGGAGTTCCTGTCACGATCAGGAATATACTGTATGATAGGAGGATAAACAAACCCTCTCTCGAAGTGAGGCTGCGACCAGCGAGGATGTACGAATAATGCTCGAAACGTCTTCAAGTTCCAGGGAGGATATCTGGATTTGCGAGTCAGTCATCTCAGGACGAAAAGGCGCTCAATACGAGTAAACGATGTACGTAAGAAGAACATAGGAGTAGCCAGTGCAATAGTTTACTGGTACCACACCCATCGTTGAAGTCAGAGTTGCAAAGAGGCGCAACGGAATCGAGGCAACGAGGGAGCGTCCCTCATGGAAACACATGTGCTGTCTGGAGGCTGACAGATGGCGCACGGTGAACTGAGGGGATGCCTCTCGAAGCTCTCGAATTGATAGTGCGCATGCCAGTTTGTTCAATTAACTGCGCGTCATTGTTTTGAGTATCGGTGTGTCTACGGACTCATCATCAAATGAAGCCGGCAAAAGTAGTACTTCAATCACGCTGCAAGTAGTGTGCTGCCTTTAAATGGGCATTGAACCAACACTCTGAAGATCTGATGATGATGATCGTACTCTAGATCTGTTCGAAACTATACTCAAATGTTTCTTTCTATTTTTGCTTCTTTTGTGCGATGACCAATAAAAAGTGTCGTTTCCTGTTTTTTACACTAATGTTCGTAAACTTCTTGTTGTCATTTAAGTCCACATTTACAAACCACTATTACTTTCACAATGTCAACATTTATTTTAAAACACATTGTTTCTGGAAATTTAACACAATTTTTTGCCGAGTACGCGCCTCAATATGAGATTAGCAAACGGTGTGTTGGTTTCACTTGACACAAAAATGGACGACAATGCGCGATTGTCTTTTGTGAGCACTATAACTTTAAAAATAAACGCACGGCATTTTATATACACCACACAAATACTCAATACAGATTATTTACACCGATTATACATATTGACGGTACCTAATACACATCACTGTCGTCTCGTCAACATTTTCCCTCACGTAGAAACTCGGTAGCACCATTTCCTACGACGAGACATTTCGCCGCATTTCGCTCCCCCACACACAAAGTCACAAAGTTCAACGTATAAAACATATCAGTGAGTATAATACTCGATTTTCTATGGATAATAATTGGAATACATTTACACACATTAACGACAAGGTAAAGGGAACTCAATAGAACAGTTTGATTAATATAATACTATATCTTCAAACGCAAATAGGTGATAGGAATCCTTGTGAATATTTCCTAAACTAGTTGTTGGATTCCGAATCGATGATTTTATTCCTCGATGACAAGAATGTTATACTTTAAGTTCACAAAAATTGTTTCTCTGATTCACTGAATAAAGTAATTCAGTTCCTGAAAACGTTCCCTCAAATCAAACCAGCACATGAATGATCACTCTGAACACGACGAAAAAATCATATATAAAATAGTTACATCATCCATCAAAACATTAAGGGAATGTGTCTTCAACTAGGATAATAGATTCGAAGGATTGACGACATTCTAAGGATTTGGTTTCGAGTGGAAGGGTTGGAGGAGAGACATTCAAACGAAGAACATCTGAGGAAAGAATATCCCAAGGATGCCGCGAGAATATATTTGTATTAAAACAGAAAGCTCTTTCTAGGTCACGATCTGAAAAGAGAGGGGGTCCAATCGGAAGCTTCAATGCCAAATATTTAAGTCGTAACGAAGCTCTTGATTGAAAGACTGTGCCCCCTCTCTTGAGAGCTCGTGTCCTTAAAGGGACTTCCTGTTTCAATGAGCATACCCGGCGGGGCCTCGAGAAACACCCCAAGACCGCCTACAAGACCGTCTCGTTGGTGCAGGTGCGCGGGCCGTTCACCAGCGAGTACTTGGACGAGCTGCCGTTGCGCTTGGTGGTGACCGCGCCTCGGATGAAGAGCTCTTTGAACGTCTCGCGGAACTGGCGCGACATGCCGCAGTAAATGGCGAAGTTGATGGGGTACGACGCGATGATGAAGAAGTTGGTGAAGAGAATGAGCACGTTGGCGATGTGGTAGTCGAGGATCTCGGTGATGCTGGAGGAGATGATGTGCAGCACGGTGACGACGGCGAGCGGTATCTCGACGAGCAGGAAGGCCGTGACCACGGCGATGAGCATGAGCGTGGTGCAGTTGGCATCGAGCATGCGCTTGCACTCCGAGTTGCGCTTCTCCTTGAAGAGCTTCTCGCGCTTGAGCTGCGCGGCGCGCAGCGCGCGGAACAGCAGCACGTTGAGCACGATGAGCGAGATGCAAGGGACCGTGTGCACGAAGACGACGCGGAAGACGAAGTACACGGTGTAGTAGAGGTCGATGGACACCCACTGTACCCAGGGCGCGTGCGTCACGTAGCACACGGTCACGCCGCGCTGGCCGCGCCACTCGATGGTGAGCGTCTCGTACACGCGGTCGGCGAAGCGCGTCGACTGGTGCAGCGTGGCCACGAAGCAGATCCAGCCGACGCACTTGAGCACGCGCGGCATGGTGCACCACGTGCGAGCCACCGGCGCGTGGCACACGTAGATGTACCTGCGTTTTAAAAACACATCGAACATTAAAAAAAGTCAAATTTTGAACGATTTGTCAAGGAATGGCTTATATTCCCAAATACGAGCAAGGGTAAAAGCTTTTGCAGTGGTACAATGATATTTATATCAGACGTAATATTAATTTATATTTAAAGAAAGCAATATTTAGAAATGTGTTTTTTCTGCATTTCCTCTTGTACTACACATGACTTTCCGGAATCATTCTCCTAATGTAGTCACATCATGCTCTCTTGTACAGTCATTGGCATCGATATTAAAAGGACGTCATATCATTTTGGAGAGGAAATCTAGGATGAGGAAATATGTACAACAACCTGCAAATATATAACAGAATCACAGACATATATTGCGACCAATATTCTGATTACACATATTAATATTCTAGACATAAAAGTAAAACTATTTACAGCGTATTGGGGTTTTCCTGAACTCTCTATGTTTGTGGAAAAAGGAAAACACAAGTAAGACTCAAGGATAGATAAAAAGGTAAAATTTGTTAGGAAGTTATATATATAGTTTCTGGGACTGTAAACAAATGTAGTGACTAGTACCGTAAATGTAGTGCACGTAAGTTGGGACGTCTGGGAGGGAGGTTATGTTCCTCCCACGTTGAAAGGTGAGATCCACTGCCGACCCACACGCTAGCTTTCGCGGATTCCCACCTCCAGGTCTCCCTCTTGCGTGAGAAGCCACCCCAGCAAGGACAAGCTCTAAACTCACTAGTGGTCTCCCCACACAGTGCGATAGGGTAGTGGATGTAAATATAGGTGTGTGAGTGTGTGTAACGCGAGAGAATGGGACAAGGAAAAAGAAAGAAAGATCGTGTGCGGTTCGTGACCCGTTTGATACGGTGCCAGAAATCTGGAAATCTATCGATCGAAACATAATTGTTCTAAGTAGCCAGTGTCTAAAATTTACCAACAATGGAAGTCGAACCACCTAGTACATTCAATCAGCTCCACCAGAAAGTTCACGGCAATGGTGCCACCGTTGAGCACTCGCATTCATTGCCGGTTGAAATCACTCCATCTACGATATATCACATACTTCGGTTTATCTTGTTGATTACAGTTTCTTACAGACGAAATAGTATCCATGAAAACACCGATATTGAGCAATATTTTAAAGAAGTATTGCCGTATAAAAATACGAAATCGCATAATGAAACCCAACGGACTCATTGCAAAGAATGTTTGTTATAAAAAGAGAATATCAGTGTAAGTTAAACTAACTAAACACAAATAATGTCTGCGTTATGGACTGTTTTGTCTTATAAAGAAGTTCGATGTAGAAAATTTAAACTGTAGTAAAAGACGATATTGTAAAAAACGATCATTTGTTAAGATTTAAGTTAGTTGAGTTTTTCGACTCGATAGAAATCAATCGCAAATATAACGTATTCACCTTAAATTTACATGAGAGACTAACTTTCTCCTATACAGTTGAATAGTTTGCATCTTTTATTTTCATTCTCAAAATACTCGAACGAAGAGATTCAATCCAACAACAATGTATGCAGATCTGTATTAATAATTACAATCATAATTTACTTAATACTAATTACACATGACGGCTGCGATGGTGTAGCGGTTAGCCTACCGGACTGTTACACCCGAGTTCGTGGTTTCAAACCCGATTTTTAGGGGCGAAAAAATCTTTCGTACGCTTTCCCTCGGAGGGGAAGTAAAGTCGGCTATCCCATTTTAGTAGATTTCCTTGCATGTAAAAGATCCGCAAGCCTAAATGACGCCTCTGAGCCAAATTAAAATCACCTGTTCTTCGCCCAAGAAATACCTCCTTTCTTCGCTAGTTGGCGAGAGGAGCGTAGCGATATTTGCGTGGTCAGGCGGAAGAGCGGGCCTGAAGACCCGAGTCTCACCATGTAAAATAAGGCATCAATTCAATACAATTATAAATAGTAATATAGATAGATTCGTATCAATGAGCGCAGAAATGGAACGAAAACTAGTCTCCGGCGAAACGGAGATGTCTATGTATCGTTAGATACCCAGGAACTTGAAAAAAATACAAAAACAAAAGTTTCTATATTGACGAAAAACACAAATAATTGGCTCTGTTATTCCGTCTATTCTGTGACTGACCGGCAGAATTTTCGTAATCAGTGCGTTACTGATTGCATCACAGATGTTACGGGAGGTTATGTTGAAGGAAAATGCCTGCCATTTAATATTTGTTATCCACGTGTTACATTATGGAACAGCAGCTCTGAAACGTACGTATGTAATAACTTTTTTGGTTAAAATATTTAATTTTTTGAAGTGTTATATAGGAGTATTTTATTTGTTTATCTTGATCAATGTGCATGTTTTTGGCAAAACATTTAGTGTGGTTTTGTTCAGCATTCTTGCTGTAGCAGGTCACTAAGTAGACATATTACCCTGCGCCTCTGAATATCATCTAACAAGAATGTGTGACGGTAAAATATTGTAAATGGAACAAAATTACATGATCTCCTTTCTTTTCCTGCAATAAAACGGTCCATATCTTCTCAGGATTTTTTTTTTCTTGACCGAAAACCAGTCCCTCAAAATCATCCACAACAAACAAATCCCATAATCCCTGTTTTCAAATCCTCAAAGACTTAAACAGCCCAAGCCCCCGTTATCGAACTTCCAATCTCCCTCTACACCAAGGTGAGGTATATAACTACATCATGCAACCAAGTAATAAACCGCATCATTCCCACAAATACAAAATTTAAATACAATCAGCCTCGCATAATTGGACCGTAAATAAAAATCCAGAAAACAAACATTCTCAACTGGAACGCGAAACGGAATAAAAAGGCCAAGAAAAGATCAATTACGACCACTTTATCAGCAAGCCACAACATAAAAATAGCTGTTATTTTCAGAAACCTCCCACCTGTTTACCGTTCAAAAATTCAAAAGGTTTGCTCAATACCAGGTTTTAATACTATCGTAACGAACCGTCTCTCAGCGACGGCCGCAGAGGAGTGGTCATTACTAGTGCACAAAGATATAAAACATACGTTAAATTAATAGTCCTACGAGCAACGACCTTAGAAACCATAGTAATTA